TCCTGCGTCGCTTTTTGTTGAGTTGAACTAGCTAACCTTTTGCCAATCATCCTGTTGGCTTCTTCAGAGCTTGATTGAAACTGGCTCGTATTTTACTCTGTACTTGCTTTTATATTGTTTGAGGGGCGTGGTGATCAATGTATCATCGCACCAACTTTCGGAAACGGAAAAATATTTGTCCTTGCTCTCCGCATTATTCCAAAATCATTTCAAATGTCGATCCTTATCCTTAAAAAAGCCCCCTAAATCTAACATTGCAAAGCCTAAACGCATTGCCCTAAAATCTCTAAAATCTAATCCCGACATCGTAATCCTAAAAGCAGATAAAGGAAATGCTACGGTAGTCATGAACACAAATGAATATCAGGAAAAGATTCAAGATATTCTTACAGACGGATCATATCGTCAACTTAAAAAAGACCGTACGTCATCTATGGAACGCATCCTTATATCTATCATTAGGGCTTCTTCTCTATTAGACTCCATCAAAAATCTGGCACCCCACATGGCTCTGTAATTCCTCGTCTCTACGGACTTCCAAAGATTCACAAATCAGGATTAGGTCCAAGGGCTATTGTCAGCACCATTGGTTATCTAACATTCTCATTCTCACAATCACTTCAGATATATTAAAATCCGACAATCTGAAACCACACCTTTTCACCTTAATTGAAAAATACCTGTCTGGAACATATTTTTCTTATAACGGTCAAATTTTTGAACAAACGTCGGGAACAGCTATACGTTCTCCACTATCACCAGTCATCGCGAATATATTTATGGAAGCCTTTGAGAGACAAGCCTTTCATCTAAAACCAAAATTATGGAAACGCTACGTCGATGATACTTTTGTTATTTGGCCCCATGGTCAGGATCCTTAGTTCTTAGACATTTAAACTCTATACACCCTAACATACCTTTTACCATTGAAATAGAAGCTAATAACAACCTCCCATTTTTAGATATTCTTATCAATAGAAAATCAGACCAAAAATTGGGTCATTGTGTTTATATAGAAAATCTACGGACACAAACCGATACCCATCACCATCCGGCCCAAAAATCATCATTTATCAACTCTCTTGTTTACACAGCCGTAAAACTATCTCAGCCTGAGTCATTGAGCCCAGAATTAAAACACCTTACCTCTGCTCTTCGCTCTAATAATTTCCACATTAAAGATATTAAGCATTCTATCACAAAATACACTTCACCGCAACTTTCCAATAGCAATGAAACAGAAAGCAATACCACACTTGTCACTGTTGTCCTTCCTTATATTCAAAGCATCACTGACCACATATTAAAAGTTCTAAAGAAACATAACGTCAAAACCAGATTTACCACTTATCCAAAAATCTCTCAACATATTCGATCCGTCAAAGACAAAATTCCATTTGAGATGCCAGGAGTTTACAGCATTCCATGCATATGCGGCAAAGAATACATTGGAGAGACCGGACGAAAAATATGAACTCTGCTCAAAGAACATAAAAGAGCCTTAAGACTAAGACAAATAAACTCATTAGCAGTTGTCGAACACAATCACGAAACCGGTCATAAAATTTTATTCTATAAAACTAAAATTCTTGCATGTAATCAATTCTTCTACCAACGAAAAATCTGGGAGTCTATAGAAATCTATAAGCAATTTAACAATCTTGACCGCGACTCAGGTCTCCACCTGTCACTAATATGGGAATCAGTCATTCGAAACGGTGTGGTATGATTTTAGGTTCGCACCCCTCAAACAATATAAAAGGTAAGGGTCAAAACTTACGGGGAGGAGCAACTTATTATTAAATTTTTAGGAATTCCTTTCAACAAATTTCTATGAAAATATCAATTGGAACTCACATTCTTCTCAACACAGTATTATATTACGAAAAATGAAAAAAAAACACTTCGATATTATTGTTGATAAGATTATTAATATTATTATTATTAAATACGAGAAATTTGTAACCAGTACTAAGACAGAATTATGGAGGATATGGCTCATTTTCCCTTAACCTGAAGTGTACTATTTTCTTATAATATTAAAGTTGTCCCATAAAATAAAAAAAAGGACACGTCCAGAACATTAAATATTATTCTATTCGGTATATCTATCACCGTCAGTTCCAGTTGCCCGTTCGCTAGTTCAAATGGTGGAAAAATTAAAACCCCAGGAATCTATTAACGCAAGACAATTGGAGCATCTGGACCAGTAGTGATATCAAAGGTCGCGGGTAAATTGAATCCATCTAAAAATAAATCACAACGACTAACCTAGACCGCTATCGCGGTGAGTCGGAATCGATTACCTTTTTGTGAATATTCATCGGGTCGTTTAATTAATTACGAGGGTTTAAAAACTTATAGTGTTGCTCGGAAATCGATTCTATATACTGTGTGATATAGAAATTGCAACCTAAAGTTTAAATATATGAGATTTAAGTTTTGATATTCTGCAACCCTTCATGATAGTTAGGTTCTCAAAGGATAACTTCACCTCATGATCACACACACATCCAGCATTAGAATTGGCAATCCACTCTGTCTTCTTCTTATGCCCCATACATTTTCAATAGGCGCTACGTGTGGTGAACTTCTGTGACATACTTATCTATAGTTGCATGTAGTCTGTCAGTGTCTAGCATAGACAAAAACGTGACTAATATTTGATATGATTTGATTTTAGCTGGACCGTTCTTGATCCAATAACAAACGTAGCTTTTTTACTAAAGATATAGTCGTCGGCGAAGAATGTCAAAAATTTCCAGGACGCCATACATAATCTTCGCACTAATTTGATATCTTGCGCCACATTAACATTTCAAAAATCTTGTTTTCTTGTCATCGAAATAAATAACCAAGGTTTCAGAATAGAACTAAGGATAGGAAATGCTAGTGTATTGTCACGGCATATAGACTTCTTCTTTCGGATTTTACATTGAAAGGTCTGATAGGACGTTATGAAGAGATCGCCAAGGCCATGCGAATCACCTCCACCAATCTCTCTGCTATTATAATTATGGAGCTAGCCTCGAATAAGGTGAAGTAATTTTTAAAAACAATTGACTTCTCATAGATATTGCGTATTTCGTTTCAAATTTTCAAATATATTGATGCCACAAATACCCATCGATAACTATTTGGGAATCTTCGAAAAATTTTTCTGACGCAAGATCTATTAGTGAAAATATTTGTAGTAATTTTGGGTGTTGAAAATAAATTATGACTCTCAGCCTGTAATTAATTCCAAATAGGCTTAAAAACTTCTTTGTCCCTGTTTTTAATTACCACTTGTTTAGAATTTTGTCTTTTGCCATCAAACCCTTACTAATGGATTCTTCTACATACAATATCACTCACAGCTGCAAACTTTACTTAAAGGAGGTCAAAAATGGAGATGGCAGTTAAGTTATTAAGCAGAAACAATCTTCAAGAGTAAACCTCGAATGTCTTTTATCTAGGTGACAAATCATTCCAAGAAAGGAAAGCATCTGATATATCCAACTACAGGCCTGTTTCGATAATATCACCTTTTGCGAGAGCTTTCGAGATGTCGCTGCATGATAGTATTTTCAACCAAATGAAACACTTGGTAATCCACAAACAACATCGTTTCTTTAAAGGTGGAAGCACCATCAGTAATGTGGCTTGCTTTACAGAATTCGCTGCTAAGGCTTTGGACGAAGGGAGGCGGGTGGCTGTGCTGTTCACAGACTATTGAAAAGCCTTTGACAGGGGGGCCACACTGTACTGCTCTCTAAACTGAGGATGCCTGGATTTTGGGATGACTTTATGGCATTCATAAAGTCATATCTGCATAACAGAATACAGTATGTGAAGCTCCGCTGTCACTGATCGCATAGGTTCATGGCTAGTAGCGGCGTTCCCCAAGGTAGCAATTTAGCGCATTGATATTGTTGCTTTTCATCAATGATATAGTAGCCAATATTGATAGTCAAATTTTGCTCTTTGCTGAAATTGTTTAGAATAGTTGATAGTGTGGTCGATTGTGTGTCTCAGCAGAATGATTTGGAGATTATAACCTACCCTTGAATACACATAAACCATACCATCTGGATCACATATTATTAAGAAACGGTGACAATTTCGGAAGAAATGGGTGTAATGTTTGACACAAAACTCTCAGAAATCATGTCGATAAAACCTTTGAAAGTGCACTCAAAATGCTGGGATTCATAGTGAGAAACTCTAGAGATTTTGCAAGGGAACATACCTTAAAACTGTTATACTATATGTGCGCTCGAAACTATAGTACGGTTCAACTATGTGGCAACCAATATTTGGCAAGTACATCACTCAAATTGAAAACGTAACAGAGGAAGTTTCTGAAATTTCTTCACTTTCATATAAATGGTTTCTACCCGGCGAGAGGACTACTACAGAGTCACTAATGTTTAAGGTTCCCTGTTGAATCGTAGGAGGTACCCTTCATTTCAATTTTTATATAAACTTTGCAATTCATTAGTGGCATTGTCCTGAGTTGCTGAACCAGCATGTTCCTTCAAGGACTATAACGGTGTCACCTGTATTTCACCTATTAACGCCGAGAACCAATTTTTTGATTAAAGGTGTTCTCTATCAGTTGATGAAATTATTTAATGACTTCTGTAATGACATTGACGTTTTTTGTCTCAGTCGCTCACAGTTACCACATTAATTAAGTGTAAATTTGAAATATTGTAATGGATTGTATGTTTCACTATTACTTTGCTGGAGTGTATATAGTTGACTACTTGTTATAATTATAGTTATAGTTCTCAAGATAAAATTGTCTTCTATATGGATGTCAATCTGTTAGAGAATAGTAATATTAATAATTATTAATTTTAATGCAATATAATCGCTAATTTTTACGTCCACGTAAGTTTTATACGTGTAGGTTTATTAGTCAATTTCTGGTTATTACTGCTAGATGGTTAAGCATTGAAGAATTATTTGATTGCAGTAATTCAGGAAAATGGAGAGTAAAGCTATAAACTTACCCCGCGATTCCTCCAGATTCCATGTGGTTAGCCAACGTGACGTCGTCGCTCCATACATCGAACTGCCACTTACGAAGACCAAGGACGCCACAGAGAACATTTCCGGTATGAATCCCTATCCTCATGTCGACGTTGAAGCCTGTAGCCTCCCTCACAAATCTATAAAAAAAATCGTACGTGAGTTTCGTTTCTCTTAGACGTTTTCAATAGCAGTTCGAAATATTTTTGAAAGCAAAAATTCATTTAGAGATCTAAGACTAGACTAGCAAATCCCGAAAATAATTAACTTAATTACTAATATTTTAATAACGATTCTATCGATTTGGAAGGAATATTTGCAGTTTCGTAAAGTATTTCTATTAGATACAGTATGTTTAATTATTACGTTTTCTATTTTTCAACTTCAAAGCTAAGAAGTTTTAAAAAAGCTGACATTAGAAAATAACCAATCACCACTAACTGAGGCAAAATAAATATTTCGAGATACGAATTTTACAGATTTTGCAGATTTGAATCCGGTATAACAAAAAATGTAACACTTTTCTATGTATCCAATGTATCTCAAAAAATAACATATCATATCACCCTGTACATTTTGAGCGTATTTAAAAATGCTCGACATCGATCTGTTTGGTATGAGAGATTACAACACAACTGAAACATATTAGTTGTCACTGGACTGTAAAGTGGATCGCATTTCTCTTTATTGATTACCCACCTTTTTTGTCCCTTCCTCCTAACAGTTGAAGCGACAGTAATTTAATTTTTGGGTGGAAATACACCCGAATACAGCTATTATATTGATTAAATGACAAAAAACATGAGAGAGCACTCGAGATAGAAAGTGCTTGATGGACCCAATATTTCAGAACATTTATCTAAGAATAAACAATAATCTATTAAGACTAATTAAAGCTCAGATATCACAAATTTGTAGGTAGTTCTATTATTCTTGAATTCTTATATTTTTCGCTGTCCCCTAAAGAATGTCTTTAGAATTTGGAATTGCAGTTACGGACTTGTTAGTAATGTTTGTTTGGTTTTGTCCGTTATGGCATAAAATATTCATTTTTTAAAGCATATTTCAATGTTATTATTTATATTCTGCTTCTTTATTTCACAAATGCAATACTTTATACATCAACGTTTTTCCCAAAAATTGATAAATTATTAATGATGATTGTTAAATTCCCCAAATTGCAGCAACATTGTTAGTTTTTTTTTTACTCCCGTCTCTAAAATACCTAATTACATACCGATCTAGCATGCGGGAAGCGTCACTTTACCATGTCAGTTTCGTTTCCCACGAATCCCAGCCACTTCGGGCATTTCCGGGATTTTACCGCACGGGTTTGGGAGCAATCGGATGTTTTTGGAGGTATGGCCCACGCCTTGAAGTTTCACGTTTGTCAATTCTGAAGGTAATGTGAAAATGTACACAAAAACCAGCTTTCGTAGAAAAAGTATAGTATGAAACACGTTCGGTAAACTTTTTTTACTACTTCCGTATGTAAAATACCTAATTACACACCGATCTAGTGTTCGGGAAGTGTCACTTTACCACGCCAGTTTTGTTTCCCACGAATCCGAGCCACTTCGGACATTTCCGGGATTTTACCGCACGGATTTGGGATCAATCGGATGTTTTCGGAGATATTTCCCATGCTTTGAATTTTGACGTTTGTCAGTTCTGACAGTCATGTCAGTGAATGTACTTGTGTTTTGCGAAAATGTACGCAAAAACTAACGGTCGTAGAAAAAGTATAGTATGCAACACGTTCGTAAACTTTTTAACTCACTCGTTTATTAAATACTCGCTCCGCTCGTGTCAATCAAACTCGTGAGTCAAATGCCGTTTACCGCACTTGTTGCATAATATACTATTGTCTACTCCCGTATGTAAAATACCTAATTACACACCGATCTAGCTTTCGGGAAGTGTCACTTTACCACGCCAGTTTTGTTTCCCACAAATCCGAGCCACTTCGGACATTTCCGAGATTTTACCGCACGGGTTTGGGATCAATCGGATGTTTTCGGAGATATTTCTCATGCTTTGAATTTTGAAGTTTGCTTATTTTGACGGTCATGTCAGTGAAAGTCCGCTGGGCTCCGCTCGTATCAAATAAACTCATAAGTTACGTCATCTATGGAACGCAAGCTTAAATATATTTCTGAGGCTACATCTCTATCAGAATCCTTGGAAAAATCTGTCACTCCTTATGAGTCTAAAACTCTTCGTCTCTACGGACTTTTTAAGATTCACAAATCAGGTTACACCTTTGACCTATTGTCATCGTCATTTGTTCTCCAACATATTTTCTAGTAAAATATTTAGCTGCTATATTAAAACCCTTTGGGGGAAAACTAACCAAAACTTCGTACAAGATGCTTGTTTGGAAGATATTTTTCTTGTACCCGTTAAATTTATGAACAAACGTCGGAAACAGTTAGGGGTTCTCCATTAACACGAACATATTTATGTAAGCCTTTGAGAAAAATTGTTCTACTAAAGAAAAATCCGAGAGTCCATAGAAATCAATAGAAATTAAACAATTTTAACGGCGACTCAGGTCTTTAGACAATATTCATGACGCTCCTTTAGGTCGTCCCCACTCAACAATAATAGGCAGGTACAGAGTAGAATGCGAACCAGTTTCACTTGAGCTCTGTTACAGCCAACGAGATGATTGGCGAAACGTCGCCAAGTTTGATTTATAAACAACCGACGCAGGAAGAATCCAGAATATTTTTAAATTTGTAGATATTTTTGAAGATTTATAAAAATATACAAATATGCAAAATATCCAATTCTTCGTTAGCAATATGTAACTTAAATTGTTTATTATTGGTATTTATCGCCAACTATCAAATTACGCATTTCATTTTAGCGAGGAATCATCATCATTTGCGTATTTCTGAATAAAATTCCACGCTATTATATATTTCTGAGAAGGAAAAAAACAGAAAAATTTTGCAGTCTATACATACAGGTCTACAACACAAAAATAGTAAATATGAAACAAATAGTATCTAGAGCAGTGCGTTTTATGGAAAGAAAATACTGAGTGAGTGTTATTTTACTTTTTCAATAAGTTGAAGGAGTTAAACATTCAACAAAGTCTAAAAAGAATATTAAAACGTTGTTAACGAATCTTAAGTTTTATGTAAAAGTAGGACACTCAAATGTAAATCAAATTTTACCCTATACATGTTAAGCGAAATAGTAGAGCGGAATTTCTGAATTATTTACATCTCGACGACTAATTGAATACTCTGTAAACAGACAAAGCAGCTTTCATCGTCCGTACAATAAAAAAAAACTGCACAATTTTCTGTATAACAAAATTAAATTGTTATTAGAATCCGTATAAAGGCTAAAAATTTTGCATTCCCTTGTTTCGTATTTGCGTTTCGCTAAACAAACAATTATGTTCCGACTTAATTGAAAACATGTTGCGTTTTGCTCAAACGAAACGCCCAAAAATATGAGTGACAGAGCGTAGAAAACAAATGTAGTTTAAAATAGAACTTTTAATAAACAAACTGCAAATTCGGCGAAGGTATTTCGGACCCAAAATTGGTAATTTGATGAAAATCCGATGCACGCACTACAAATTAACATACGGCTTCGTTATTTGTAGCCGTGTTTGTGCTATCAGTCAATATTCTGTCGGACATGCAAAATTCTAATACGCTCTGGCGAACATTGATAAATGGCCGTTGCACAAATGTGTTAGCAATTTTTTCGATACGAGGCAATGTGGCGGTGCGCTTATTAAATCACCGGTTACTCTATTTCGCAAAAGCTCTATTCATAGACGACTAATTGGTTAGAACCGATGACCTTACAACCAAATGTGGACCAGACAGATCGTAATACTTACTAAAAACCACAATTTAACAGGCTCTTTTGGGACTAAACAAAATCAATCTCTTATTTGGTCAACGTTTCGGCAAATATATTGCCTTCTTCAATAGTGTTCGTAAAGTTCGCCCACAATATTCCGTGTTTACGACATATGTCACTTTGGTCAATTTTTATTTAAGGTCTAACCGCATGCCATGGCTGCAGTGAGAGATCCATTCCTACTTTAAAATGTTTATTACAAATATAAATGAAGGAGTAAATTTATGTATAAAACTATATTGAAATATTTATAAAAATAGTTATCCTACATCAACATATCGTCACTGGACTCGTCACTCACATTAATAATTAATTCTGTCTATAGTCGACTTCTGTAAATATTTTCTTCTTCGATGATATATATTTGTACACATTTTTTCAAAAGAAGCAGAAAATTTTTTCCATTTGACTTCTGATTAATTCTATTGCCCAGAATTCAATTTCTTCGAGGTGTTGTTTTTTTTTTAAACTAGGTTTCAGCTGCCCCCATATCAGTTCTATCGGATTAAAATTGCAGTGGAAGACGGACAACTTTGAATTGCCGCTTCATGGCCGACTTGTCCACATTATACTTCATATCAAACGTCCTCGTCTTAAGGACTTCCAATAACTGCTCCTGTGTAAAGGAGTTTTCAAAATACATAATATCATTTTCAAGCAAAAAATTTTGAATGATGATGAATTTGGTAATTTTTCCGCTTGTGCCGAATGGTAGCGGCGTTGTCCATCACGACTGTTTGGAGGAATATTGGGAAGCCATTTCTAACAAAATCATTTTTCAAAGATGTCTGCTGTCATGTTTTCGTAGCAGTCAACTTTTCCTTTTTTGACATCTTTTGCAGATAGCAACAAAGCGTTATCTAATCAACCAGCTTCAGCGCCTGCATATAATATGATAATTCCATCCAGTAAATCGTTTTTTAACGATATCGTGGCTATCGAACCAGGTGTCATCTATATCTAAATCATCAAAATATATGATGATGACGTTTTTAGCACGAATTAATTAGATTTCTCTCAAATGTCACATACTGTGGCATACGACGTTTTAATCATCTTGGAAGTTAAGTTTATGGCTTCACTTCACGCAGATGTCAATATCAGAAACAAAAACACATTTAAAATTCTAATTTTGGCAGTAACCAGCAAATGGGTCTTAGATCCATTTGAATCTCAACTTCTTCGTCGCTGGACATCGCATTAAATTGTAGAGCAGTTTAAACTTGCTAATGTGTTTTTAATATAGGCAATAAATCTATCCAATGAGCAAATTCAAGTTAAAATCGAACTACCTCAAGTAGGGACTGTTTTCAGAAGATTTATAAAAAGCACACTAATATGAATTAATATAACAGTTTAATCCAAGAAAAATTCCCTATTCTTAAAATACATCAGTACGCACGGCACGGTTCGTATAGGCTCAAACTCATTCCGAAGTCAAAACCAAAAAAGGTTGTAAAAACAGTATATGATTGGGCGAACTTTAACTGGACGAATTTTCATTAACACATTTATATAAAATGAAAATGTTAATATGAAAACCAAAGAATTATATATGTACTTGTAAGCCCAAAATTTGCTATTAAACCAATGTCGATTCTCACCGACCCATAAAGTTAGCTAAGTTAGCTACAATTTCGGGTACCACATGCACCACACATGCACATCAAAAAATCGAGCACGGAATATCTCTCCTAATTTCTCAATATAGTAATTATAGCTAAGGGTAAGTCGTAGGGGACCGCCATTGGTACAGACATAATCTGCGTAAAAAAAAATGTTCTCTGTTACTGGACATTTTTGACTATAACTTCCTCACGGTACGAGCAAGACGGTCTAAATTTTTCTACCTTCTAACAGTCCACGGGATGCACAAGATTTCTGAAAATGGTCAGATGTCGAACCTCCGCCGCCATCTTTTTTTTTCGATTTCCCATTGGTTTTCGGACATTGCTATGAAATACGATAAAAGTCCGAAATTTGAAGCCACCGACTTCAAATCAATTCTCGAAAACCGTTAATGAAATTGAAATATTTCTTTAACGTAAAGATCTACGAGACCGGGTGCTATAAACCTTTAATCTTCATAAATTTCCAAAAAAGTACAGGTTATGCCTGCTATTCGAAAAAAAAGGAAAATTGGGGTCCCCTTATAATGGTAATTGACCATAACTAGAACTCTGGGTTTAAGTTGTCAGTTTTTGTTTGCATGATCGTATAAACATCTGAAACATTTTTATTTAAGGTTATCACATATTACACAGGGTGTTCGTGATCTTCTGTGCTATATTCAAATTTGCAGCTGTCGACTTCAAATTTGGCAGAGAAGTACTAATCTAAACTGTCAAAACTGGACGCAATCAAATTTCGCCAGGATGATTTAATTTTTTTTTGGGTTATTTTGGTTTCCAGACATTTCTTTTTTCTTAAAACTGTTAACTCGATAGTAAAATTTTTTTAACCAGGAGACACAGAAGGTCTAGTACTATAAATTTGGTTCCAAACATTTTTTCGATTATATACAGGGTTTCCCATTATTTACAAAAATTTGAAAGACTGTGAAAATTGTTCTTTTCCAAAGTAAATTATTAGTCATAAACCAAAAGTCTTCAAATAGTTGGTTTAAACAATACTATAGGCCGCATCAAGAGCTACATTTTTGTATTTACGGTTTTAGTCACATACGCTGCTCGAGATATTTGGAAAAATCTATATGAAACGACGCGATGACGTCATTGACAATTAACGGAGTACTACATTGTTTTAGAAAAAAATATTTTCTTGAAAACCATTTACTCTATTGGAAAAAATCATTACCAATTTTTAAGATATCAGGGGTTGGACCTGTCTAATCCTCGCAATAAATCACGATCGATTTTTATTTATTTTGGTATTATGTGTTTTACAACGTTGCAGTTTATTTATAGTTGAAAAATATTCCACGAGAAGAGAACATCGTCAGATTTAAGTGAAATAGGAATGTTTGCATCTCGTTCTTCTGGGAACTATCCCTAGTTACATAAATTGAAACAATAGCAAACAGTTTGATCACCGAATCGTAAATGATCTGGACCTTTAACAAAAAACAACGCCGACTCGTTCCAGGACCCGTTTTAGTTAAGCAATATTCAGATATCTTCGTAGCAGGGACTCTTGCGTGCAAATAATTTATAATGTAACGGAGCCGGGAGCTCTTGGGAATATTAAAAGCAGATCCGTCATAAAAATCGCCGAAAAAGCGGAAGCTTCAAATACGATAACGTAAAGAATTTCCAAGGCCTCAAGAGAAAATCGGACCTGGAAAATAAAATAAAACCATCCTAAAAAAAGTAATAAACAGATAAAATCAATTACACAGCGTCATCAAAAAAAGTTAGGTTGGAAAAACATGAACAAAGACATGCTTCTTGAATTGTAGAAAACTGAAAAAGAAACTTTTTCCAATAAAATTTTTGGATGTTTTCAAGGGAAACCTAATTATCCATGATTTTTTAACATTTGATTGTCAATTGATTTGTCAACTAATCCCAGGATCAACATTTACCAAAATTCATTAAGAATAATTGTTTTCATGTGATGCGGAATTTTGTGGTGAGTTTGTATATAATTTTAGACCTACACAAAATGCATTACAAAAAGACTCAGTGGTGGGAAAAATAATGCCAGCCCGAAAAGAAGCGAGCCACGAAAAAAATTTGAAAATAATAAGTCAACTTGTATATGCGAAAAAAATAGAGAAATTGCAAAAAATTACATTGCCCCCGTTAATGAATATGTCAGCTCGATTTGTTAATCGACACTTGCTTTACCTATAATTTTTATTGCACGTTGATAAAACAATCCCCCAAATACACTAGCGACGACTTTTACTTATTTTTTTTATCAACTCTCATATTTAATTTATTTTAAACATTTTGTAAATTAGATTCACAAAACGTCAGCAATACAAAACTCAACCAGGCGATCACCGGACTCGGTTAGTAATGAAAGCCGCCAGTTCACGAGCACAAAGGAAATCTTAACTCACCTAATGGCCTCGATCATTTGCAGGCCCATGTTAACGCAGTTATAGGCGTGGTTCGGACGTGATATAGGAAGTCCCGATACGCAGTAGTAGCAGTCTCCCAGGATCTTTATTCTCATGCACTGATTATCCTGCGAACAGAAGGAAGTATTACGGATAAGTATCAATAACATTTAGATAATACATATCTAACTAACTATTATATTTCTAACAAAACGAGTATATACAATAATGGCATTATACAATAATATTAGTTATCAACAGTAACAGAAGTCTTGAGCATACCTTCCCACGTCACTTATTTATGATTCAAATTAATACATAGAAATATTCACCTTACCCAACTCTACCCTAAACTATCTACATTTACTGTAAGAACTTAGTATGAACATATTCTTAAAGAATTCTATTTGTGAATTTTAATAAAGGAAATTAACCAAAACGGTTGATATAAAAAACATCCTTTAAAAACATTGCATCCTTCTCAAAGCATCCCGAAGATATTCAGGACGGACATTGTGAAGCAAACCTACAACAATTAAACAGTACTTCTTTTGAAGTTGGATGTTTGCGTTTTCACCACGAAGGTTGTACAGGGTGGCCCCTACCTTATCTCGAAACCTACGGGGTTGCAAAAAAAAATTGAATTCAAAAATTGTTTCTATTAAAAATACTTCTTTTTTTTTTTAGTTTACTAACCGTCACTTTTTTATATACAGGATGGTAAAACAAAGTTACATTTTTTTAAATAGAACACTCTACATTTTATTGCATTTTCAAACTTCAAAGCGATCATCTTCAGAATTCGGGTTATGTTTGTTGGGTTGTTTATTAATTTTTTATTTTTTTCCATTTATTATTTTTTCGAAAATAATGCTTTCCTTTAGGCAAAGGTCAAATTTAAAATATTTTCTTGCTACGTTTCGCAAAATGATACTTTCCCCAATTTCCTTAAATTGACGGTAAACCATATCTTCAATTTTTTTAAATATACTGAAAGTTTTCGAACAAACCCTGTATTTTGATGCAAAAGGTAAGCTTAACTATTATTATCCGCCATTAACCGGATCCACGCTTAATAAAAATAGTTTAAAGCGAGAGGAAATTGCTTCGTGAAAGTCCATGGAAGCTTTCAAAGATTAAGAAAATAATTGCTTCAGGGAAAAGAGTTCAGAGAGATTGCTAGCTCAAATTGCTCGAATTGTTCGTATATTAAAGACCTTTTAAAATGTTATAAATATTACATGCAAAAATCGTCTTTTACTTATTTATTGAATTTTATTGATGCTCTTCTATAAAAAAGAACTTTTTTAACTAACGCTTTTTGGTGAAATGGCAAAATTTTTGTCTATCAAGAAAAGATTTGTAACAAATTCATATCAGATTTTTTCCCAAGTTGAAATAAAAAAAAAATACTTGCGACATCTACAACAGTTTGTGTGATTATTACCTTTTAGCATGGTGTCAGATGTGGGGTTTGGTTAATTATACCAGTGATGGTGATATATTTGAGAATTTGAGAAACATAAATTTCTGCAATTTCCAGTATTTATTTCACTGGATTACGAAAATGTTTACCTACAATAGTTTGTAATGATTAGCCTATTATCCTTTGGTGTCAGATGTGGGGCACAAATAATTTGACCAGTACCAACAGTACCTTTTACGTTGTAACTAAATTGTGATAATTGAAGTTTTGTAAGAAAGAAGTTTGATTCTTGAGAACAATATAGCAAAATTGCTTTACATAGTCAGTCCCAGAAATCGAAAATCAAACTTAAGGAGAAGGAAGAAAAGGAAATGCCAATAACCGATTTTAGTGTTTATATTGTAGTTTTGAAATCTCCCTTAACTTTTTAGTTTACGCGACAGAAAATTTTTAATATTGAAATTGAAATATTCAGAGATGTTCAGTATAATTAAGAAAATGACTTCAAATCAGGAAGCAAAAACTACAAACATCAGAATAAATAAAGAAAATCTATTTTCACATTTTTTTATATTTGGGAAAACATTGTAAGTTGAAAAATAATCTGATTTGCCAGAAGCATTATCCAATGCTTAAAAACCTATTTAAAAAGTTTTTCTGAAAGTAGCTTCTTCTTTAGGTGCCTATTCATTCCGAATATTGGCGATCAATCTAGCTGTAACGACGTTGTTCACAGCTGCTCTGAATAATTGGTTGTATTTTTTGAGAACCGTGTTCTTAAGTTTTCTAGCCATGATATTTTACTTCTTCCTGGTAATCGTTTACCATAGACTTAGGTCGTATCTACTTTCGTTCCTCATAATATGCCCAAGGTATTTCTTCTATTGATGGTGTCCATTATTCTAAATGAGGTTGCGTTCATTCCAGTACTTTTTTGTTGCTCTGTTGTCCATCCATGAAGCTCTTAACATTCAAAAGTCACATTTCGAAGGCCTCCACTTTTTTCCAGTTGTCTTGGTTAATGTCCATGGCTCCATCAAAGAAAAGTCGATGTTGAAAGTGTAACCTTTAAACAATTTAGCCATTTGATAGAAGGAGCTTCTTGCTTTGCTATTCTAATTCTAATCTCCTGTGAGTGACTCCAATACTCATTAATTATGGTTCCCAGGTAGGTGAACTGCAAAACCCTTTGTGTTGTTTAGTTAAGGTAGTACCTTGCACCTATTTCTTCATTAATTACCATGAATTTATTTGGTTTTACTATTGTTGATTTCTAAGCCACACTGACGACTGCTGCCTGTTATTTTATTGATTATTTCTTGTAAGCTGCTCAAGCTATCGCTAAATATCACAGTATCATCTGCGTATTTAAAGTTGTTCAATCGTTCCCCGTTGAGAAGTATTCCTATGTCGGTATTCTCAACGGCTTCACTGAAGGTTTCTTCTGAGTGCAGATTGAAAATGAGTGGCGAACAAATTTACTCCCGCCTAACTCCGCGAAATATGTTGGTTGGGTCGGTTTGCTCCCTCATACTGATCTTTATATGGGCTGAGTCATTTCCATAAATGCTCTTGATAATTCTCAGGTCCATGCTCGAGTTTCTCAAAACCTTTATTTTGTCGCAGACTTTTTGATTGTCACCAAAATAACCCGAAATATAACAATTCTGAATATTATAAATTCTGAGACGAGCCATTCTTTTGGGGTGTTCCCAATGTTGTAGATATTATTGGCTATACTAGATAGGAATATTACCGATTCGTCATCAACAGGTTTAAAAATTTCTGAATGCATTTCATCTGGCCCCGGTGTTAACTTTTCCAAGTCCTTTTGATGTCTTCTCTATCTACGATCAGTTATCCTTCATCAGTTAGCAGCCTTTACACAGTTTCCTTATTGAGCCTTCCTGTAACTCCTCTCTCTAATTATAAAATCCTGAAAAACTGTTTTTAAAAACCGACGGGAGCGCAGCTGAGCCAAATGGCTATTCTTGAGTCGGGAGTAAGAAATGATAAATTAAAATATTTTAGCTACTAAATGTGAGTTAAAATATTTCATCGCAGTTTTAATTCCTTTTGTTAACTGATAGCATTTCATCTTTTTTTGAGGGTTTGTTATTTTATAAACTTGTTTTGATTAATAAATAACCCACAAATAAATAAATTTTAATTTAAAATATGGAAACAAAGCCCTCTGTTTCGATACATTCTATATAATCTAATTAAATATTATTTAGTAATAAATAATGCCGTCTGTTCAACACCGGCCTACAAAACAAATACGGAAAAATATACAACAAAGTTTTATTTTCATAAATCGATAGGTTCATATTTTGCGTGCCATGTGGCCCGATAATGCCCTTACCAATCGCGTATCATGAGAACTAAATCGTCACGCAACGCACAGACCTACTATTATTTCCATTCATACCAAATGAAAATCCACAGTCACCTGAAATCACTTTTATTTATTCTCGCTTCTGAGTTCTTTTTGTTGAATTCATTATTTACAGGCAGACCTGAATAACCATAAACCCTATTTAAGCAATTTGCTCTACACGCTTCTCCAAAATAATAAAAAACGTGTGGAGTCACTTCCAAAGTTTCCTGTTCTTTAGGCACAGTATTTTGACGTTTGCCAGTTCTGATGGTCACGTCACATGTTGCTCAGTGAATGTGTTCGTGTTGTTTTGCGAAAAGTATTGTGTGCAACATCTTGATACGCTTTTTGGTGACTTGTTTAGTAAACTAGTTACATTATACAGACTGATCTACATCACCAAACTAGTAGATTACGACGGTGAAAACTGAAAAACAATTGAATGTAGAGTTTAGGAAACAATGGAGAAAATTTTGGAACACCCTGTATATCTTTTACTTATTTGTTAATCACCAACAGAACAAAAGAGGTCTTTCTAATGCGCGAATTGGCTTTAATATTGTTCTACCATCTATCTAGTGTATTTTTTCTCTTATTGCAGCCTTCATAACATAGGAGGCAAAGGAATAGTTCCAGTTTTTAAAAATTTATATGTGCTGCGGAAGTTATGAGCTGGTGCGCCATTTCGGAAATAGAGATTCTGCCTCCCTATGAGATCAAACGCATCTAGAAAACATCCAGAATTTCAGTAATAATGGACCAAAACTTAAAGCTAAAACGAACTTGTGGACGTCGGTGATGAATTAGCAATAAATTTTCTCTTGAGCAATAATGATGATTTTTTGGATTATAATTTCTAAAATTGGAAAAGTTTGATTAGTCAGTTCACAAAACTGCGGTGGGCTAGAGAGTTGCTCCCGGAATGAGGCAGCCGAGGCTTATGATGAATAGGCCCGCCCTTCTTCGAACCAGGGAGCTGCTCAGACTGACCAGAAGGGAGTGTAGAGCACTAACAGGGGCCTACACAGGACATTGCAGGCTTAGGAGGCATCTTTGCTTGCTAGGAATTGGAGACGACCCGGAGTGCAGGTGGTGCATGGAAGGGGAGGAGATCCCGTATCATCTGCTCGCCGAGTGCCCTGCCTTGACATGGGCAAGATTGGGAGTCTTCGGAACGGCCCTGATCGATCTGGACTCAGTGCACGGTATTGAGCTAAAAGAGTTGCTGACCTTCTATAGGAGGGGCGGCATTCTGGACGCCCTCCAGAGCGGCCTGGGGCACAACGGTCCCATTTGGTGGCCTAAGTGCTTGGACGCCCTTT